TAAAAAGTCTTGTTTAAAGTTTGCCACAAGCCACCTGGGAGACACACCAAACATGTGGAAGAAGGTGCTCTGGTCAGATGAAACCAAAATCGAACTTTTTGGCCACAATGCAAAACGATATGTTTGGCGTAAAAGCAACACAGCTCATCACCCTGAACACACCATCCCCACTGTCAAACATGGTGGTGGCAGCATCATGGTTTGGGCCTGCTTTTCTTCAGCAGGGACAGGGAAGATGGCTAAAATTGATGGGAAGATGGATGGAGCCAAATACAGGACCATTCTGGAAGAAAACCTGTTGGAGTCTGCAAAAGACCTGAGACTGGGACGGAGATTTATCTTCCAACAGGACAATGATCCAAAACATAAAGCCAAATCTACAATGGAATGGTTCACAAATAGTTGTATACAGGTGTTAGAATGGCCAAGTCAAAGTCCAGACCTGAATCCAATTGAGAATCTGTGGAAAGAGCTGAAGACTGCTGTTCACAAACGCTCTCCATCCAACCTCACTGAGCTCGAGCTGTTTTGCAAGGAAGAATGGGCAAGAATTCCAGTCTCTCAATGTGCAAAACTGATAGAGACATACCCCAAGAGACTTGCAGCTGTAATTGCAGCAAAAGGTGGCGCTACAAAGTATTAGCGCAAGGGGGCCGAATAATATTGCACGCCCCACTTTTCAGTTTTTTATTTGTTAAAAAAGTTTAAATTATCCAATAAATTTCGTTCCACTTCACGATTGTGTCCCACTTGTTGATTCTTGACAACAAATGTAATTTTTATATCTTTATGTTTGAAGCCTGAAATGTGGCGAAATGTTGAAAGGTTCAAAATCGAATACTTTCGCAAGGCACTGTAATAGTAAGGCTTGGTGGCGCAGGTTGTTGACCCGCATAACCAGTTTAATTCCTCAAAGACTCTGTTGTAGGTAAACAAAAGCACCAGGATTCAGGAATCTTTGTGTGTTCAGAGTCCATCCTGCAGCAGTCGTTCAAGCAAAGCCAAAAGACAACATTGATTTGGGAGTTTTCTGTGAGGTGACAAGTCCTTTAATCCTAAACTGTTAACCCCATGATTCAATGATTGCTTAGATCATTCAAACCTCAAATACCACCATACTCTTCTTCCTTCAGTGAGAGTGCTCTGAAATGTGAGAATGAGCATTCACACCTCCAGATAAATCTTTCCCTGGTGTATGGAGGATGATGCTGCAAAAAGCTCTTCTTCCTCCTCCTCCTCCTCCTCCTCTCTGTCTGCTCCTTCAAGACAACTTTCTCATCACCGTGGAAACACAGTAAGAAGGCAGCCCATAAATAGTGTTCACGCTCAGAGTTTACAGTCGCAGTTTGTTTTAAATGTCTTGACTCTGAACAACCAAGTAAAAGTACTAGTTAATAATAAACTGTGGGAGCATTGTGTTTCAACAGTTATATGACAATGATTCATATGTAGTAATACTGTACAACTACTGTGTATGTGTATTTATAATTATGTAACAATATATAGACATTATAAGACAGAATTAAAATAACAAAATAATCATATTTATACTTCCATGACCTAAAGGCTAAACACATTTTCAGAATCCAGGTACTGCCTTTTTTACATTTCACATACTGTAGCTTCCATAGAACAGTGTACAAAGTAAATAACATGACAGCACACTCATTACAGGACGGGCCTGGACACGCTCCTCTTATCTGTGAGAAAGATCAGACATGAGGAGGACCAAAAGTGTCAAGAGAAATGGAGAGGCACAACCGCCAAGCAGCAAAACCCCAAGCTGTGATTCAGGTTTTTTTACGACAATAACGTAATGTTCAAAAGGCAAGACGAGAGATATTTCAAACATCAAAAACATTCCACATCATGTCTATATGGTATTAGTAGTTTGGGGGAAAACTGTGTAGCGACTGTCCACAGACTAATATTTTTTTCAAAAGAGGTTAAAAAAATAAAATAATTTAAAATAAAAAAAGTTATGGGGTAGATTTTTTAATTGATGTGATATTTTGGACCAGAACCTCTCACCATAAGAACACTTTCATCCCCTCTGCTGTTGGACTCTTGAAAACTTCATAATCTTGTCCTCCCGCCCTTTATAAAGTCACATTACTGCCCTTCATAAAGTCACATTACTGCCCTTCATAAAGTCACATTACTGCCCTTCATAAAGTCACATTACTGCTCTTCATAAAGTCACATTACTGCCCTTCATAAAGTCACATTACTGCCTTCATAAAGTCACATTACTGCCCTTCATAAAGTCACATTACTGCCCTTCATAAAGTCATATTACGGCCCTTCATAAAGTCACATTACTGCCCTTCATAAAGTCATATTACGGCCCTTTATAAAGTCACATTACTGCCCTTCATAAAGTCACATATGAACTGCTTAATGCATTAATGTATATTGTATATTGTGTGCATTGAGTGCACTTATATGTATAGTAATAATCGTAATAATTATAACTCTTACATTTTTATATTATAGAAAATGTTATACCTTAAAAGTGTTTTATTATGCCTTATTCCTTCTCTACTCTTAACCTGATTTCACCGAGAGCCAAAGCAATTTCCTAGTCTGTGACTTCCCGTTACTTACATGGAAATAAAAATGATTCTGATCTGATTCTGACTTGTATCATGCCAACAGGAAAACATTGCTGCAATGTGCTGCACAGGGAAGTATGTTAGAGGCAAGAGGAAGCGGAAACTGATTTCTCAGACAGGACGCAAACATGGCATACACCACCAACTACGAGCCTACGAATTGTAAAGCGCAGTGTAATATGCTATATTAATAAAGATGACTTACTTACTCCAATCTTTATTGTGGTTTGAGGAAAATTAAGTCAACAGCCATTTTCTTTAATGCATGACTCGAGCATGCCTCATATCAAGTCACATTTTCCTTTTTTGTTAGGTCAGGTAAAGTTTTCCTGATCTAACAAGGTAACCTTATTGCTACCATAGGGAATTGACAATCGCATTTGACCCGTCTTGAAATGGCAGGAGTGGAGGTCTCTGACAGGGACTCATCTTGAGATGTCGATGTTCGGTCTGGTCCGGACTACCAGGTGCATGTTTTGGGTGATGGGGGATAACAGAGTGCCCAGAGGAAGGATTGCATCCACGAGTTACGAGCTACTTGCGGTGAAGCATGAGTGCACCCCACCAATGTTGTGATTCAAGGATTGAAAATAACAGAAGCGGTCTGAGCGAAAAACACAAAGAAACAGCCACTCACTCAAAACCAACAGGGTAAATGAATCAGCAGTGAATCACAAAATTCCCTAAGTATTCAGTGGTGGACCAGTCATTTGACCCTGTGATCCCCATTTCTAGTAAACCGACAATGCATTGAAAACTTTAGCATGAGCTAGACCTAAACCATTTGCCCTTTTGTATTTTACAGTGAGGATAGAGTTGGTTAAATTGAAAACATCAGATTGGAAATGATTAGACAGGAGGGGCCCCACAAGTCTTCCTACTAGTGAACACCCAGCATTGTTCATTAAACAATAAGCAGCTTCACACACTTTCAAAGCCAAAATCAATATCCTGGCTTCCAACAAAGAGCAGATTACCGTAATCTGCTCTGACTGGCCAAAAATATCATCATCAAGTAGAAGCGCATTCAACATACAATGGAAGTTCATAATGGAAGATGAACATGTATTCAAGTGTTGGCTATTTCCCAAATAATTGAAATTTACTTTGTCGTTTATGCAAGTATTCGCCACAGTGTCATTTTTCGGAAAAGCAGTCATCTCTGAAAATGTTTAAACCAACAAAACCACAAATGTCATCAAAACTAAAGCTGTAGCACTCTGCACAGTCTCTACAGCTAAACCAGACAAATGTCACAGACTAAAACAGTCTTTCCCCTGTGACTCACTCTTAGTCTCCACATTTTGTTGCTTTTGGAAAAGACAAAAAGAATAACATCAACATTATAAGACAATGATTTCAACGTGGTAAACTGGGATAGAGAAAAAACTACTATGATCTAAAATGGATAAATACAGTAAGTAACCATAGTTGAACTAAAATTGTCACTTTCAACTGCTCTTGGTGGTTGTAAGATTGCTGTAAATTAACCTATAACTCTCACTGGAATATAGGTCAAAATTATTACTCTAAACTGGGCTAATGACTTTTTGTGCTGTATTTTTTTTAGTTTTTTTTTTTACTTGGCCTTAGTCAGAGTAGATGCATACAACAGAACAAAAGACCCACTTAAGACCTAGTATAATTGAGACGTGAATCAAATAAAAAGGTATTATCACTAAAATCATAGACGTGTCAAATCTGCGTTTCCCTTTTTCTGACCAGCTGCCGATGATGCATTTGACCTCAGTGGGTTTTTTTGAAAAGAGGAGATGAGTCACAATAGCCCACCCTTCTGAAAAAGTGTTACCGTGTAGTAGTGTGGGTGTCATGTGTGTATATACTGTATATTATGATTATATACCGTCCACGGCACATACTGCACATTTGTAACTAGTGCCAGGCTTTGTGTTGACTAAATGTGAAGGAAAGGCACATGATGCTGCTTGAGTCATAGTTCCTTTTTCAAAAAAGGAGGAAATCTAAAAAAAAAAGATAATACTTTTGGGTGAACTGTATTATGTCCAGCCTGTGTGTAGACATGCGAGCTGGCTGGTAATAAACGGTCAAGGGAAAGGGTTATTTGTCTTGTCGGGAAGTAATTTGATCGTCTTGAGTGACTGCTGTTTTTATAAATGATTAGTTCAGGTATATTACTACATTTGCACTGGTGATTGGACATTGTGTACTGGTCTTTTGCACTGGTCTCAAATGGATAAAAAAGAGGATCACATTGAAACATTGAGGCATTTAAATGAAATAACGTGTCTTCATGAATCCAAAGTTTGATATGCATTATTTCTATTTACTTTTGTAGCTACTGACATTGGGTAAATTGGCATAAATTGGGCTGGTTTGTAAACTGGGCCGCAGGAATACATTGTGCTACTCACCTGCTGATGAAGAGTCCTCATGGTCGGAGCTCAGGTATCCATCACTCCTTCTGTCCGGTGTGCTGCACCCAGAGCCCCGTGACGGTCTCCTCTGGATGAGCATGCAGGACGGGGACAGTCTGCCATCATCCCCCGAGTCCAGGTCCCTGCTGCGGCGGTGGGGTCGTGTGGCGTCCCAATGCGCACTTGAAGTCCTCTGCTTGTCCCTGTGCAGAATCTTTGGAGCCAACAAGTTATTCCTGACAAAATTATCATTCAGCTCCGTATCTTCGTACTCCCGATCACTTGCGTCCTCGTTGTCATTGAGCAGGACCGTGGTGGGCTTGTGGAAGCTGCTGACGCGGGGAGGCACTGGGATGGGGACAGGCTTACCCGTGCGCCCGCTGATCCTCGGTCTGTCCCGGGAGAAGGAGCCCACAAACTCGGGCAACCTGCTCCTGTCCACCTCGTTATCCCTTAAATCAGATTTCACGGTCTCTTTCTGTTTTAAGAAGGAATATTTATCTGCGTTAAAGTTGTCATCCTTGTCATCAAACCTGTCCGCGTACTCTCTTTTCTGCCGAGCCACGGTGGTCTGCAGGTAGATCATCTTGAATTTCTCCTCTGCCAGAGCTTTCTGAAGCCTCTTCATGTTAGATTTGCACGAATCTAGCTCAGTCTCAATGTCGTCCACCGACTTCAAGTCCATTTGGGGAACTTCACAGTCGGGAAACTCATTTTTCCAGTGCTTGGCGAATTCCTCCTGTTCCCACATTGTGCCACTTGCACTGAGGCTGTAGCGAGGAAATACACTGGTTTATTCTCACCGACAGCTGGCGGCCAGTGTGTCGTAATATCCAGTTTCTCTCTCTCCTGCTTCAGTGCAAACAATCACCTTACCCGCCGTAACTTGACCACTCAATGTTCATCTTCCCCTTACGCCACATGAGATGCGATTTACAAGTTACCACTCAGCTGAAAACTCCGAGACTTCCTGTATTGAGACATGATGCTTTCAAGTGCAGCTGACACAACCTGTACACAACCTGTGTTTCAACTTTCAACCTCGAATAAAACCATTCATCGACCGTATTACTTTAGACACACATGGTCATCAGTGATAGTATAGAAGAAACATTCGTAATAATTAGTCGTGCTTTAGCTAATTTTAGAATAGAATTTGACTTTCATTGACTTTTCAAAACAATACCAAAGTATTCAATGTATGCGAACACATGAACGCAGCAGTTTCTATGCAGATAATATCAACAGGGTTTTTATCAGGGACGTGCGGTGAGGTTTGTGATTGGGGAGGCACTGACTTTAAAAGTCAGATTTACAATCATTATTCAAATAAAATAGCATTTAATCACCAATGCAATGACATCCACAAACTTTATATACTGTAAAGATAAGAGAACCAGCTTCTTTTAATAATCTCACAACAAATCTAGCTGCTGACTCTGCTCCGCATCAAACAACATCTTTTAAGAAGCGCAGGTGCGAGAGACGCGAGGAGAGAGAGACGCGAGGAGAGAGGAGCAGAGAGAGACAGAGAGGAGCAGAGAGACGGAGACGCGAGGAGCAGAGAGAGACGGAGACGCGAGGAGAGAGAGACGCGAGGAGAGAGGAGCAGAGAGAGACAGAGAGGAGCAGAGAGAGACGGAGACGCGAGGAGAGAGAGACGCGAGGAGAGAGGAGCAGAGAGAGACAGAGAGGAGCAGAGAGACGGAGACGCGAGGAGAGAGGAGCAGAGAGAGACAGAGAGGAGCAGAGAGACGGAGACGCGAGGAGCAGAGAGACGGAGACGCGAGGAGCAGAGAGAGACGGAGACGCGAGGAGAGAGAGACGCGAGGAGAGAGGAGCAGAGAGAGACAGAGAGGAGCAGAGAGACGGAGACGCGAGGAGCAGAGAGACGGAGACGCGAGGAGCAGAGAGAGACAGAGAGGAGCAGAGAGACGCGAGGAGAGAGGAGCAGAGAGAGACAGAGAGGAGCAGAGAGACGGAGACGCGAGGAGCAGAGAGAGACGGAGACGCGAGGAGAGAGAGACGCGAGGAGAGAGAGACGCGAGGAACATAAACAATAATTTAAACAAGTTGCAGAACTCTTGAGCAGTGTTTGAATCAGTGTTTTTCGGAAAAGCACTACTTTGTTTAGCTTAAAATGTCATATTAACAATAAAACGATCCCCTCTAGTGCTGTATCTTAAGGTGTTGTCAGAACATAATCAGATTGTGGAACCAATATATCCATGGGTGTATTGGAATTAACTAGAGAATTGTCTAATTTAATTTGAACCATGATATCCTGCCCTGAACAAGCCTTTCCATTATACTGATCAATAACCTTGTCTTCCTGTGCGTCACTATAGAAACGGACGTTAAAAAGACTACTCGCATGCTTTGCGAGTAGCGTGAGCGCCTGAGTCAGCGGAAAGCACAGTTGTTATGTAATGCTGCTGCTTCTAACATGGCTCTTCAGTCTTCATACTGTGTCACTCGCAACTTTTCTCATTTGGACAGAGAGATCCACACTTGAATAACGAGTACTGTGTTGCAGATAAACTGTTCTGCTTTGTATTGGATTAGTATTTTTATAACTAATGTGCAGCAAATTAATAGATAATCCCATAGGTCGTCTAGAAGGTTTTCCTTTGCACTCGGGACCTACATTTTGTCTTGCAACAGAACATTATTATTGTATGTACTTCACTTGGTTAAGTGTGTAAAGTGTGTAAAAGAAGATGGATTGGTTCTCAGCACTTGGAGTAAACAGTTCACCTGGGGTAATCCTCACTCTCCACTTAGGTTCATCTCGTGACATCTGTATAAATAATAAATGTGGCCTTTTGTTTAACTGTGTGTATATGTTGTTGTTGTTGTGAGGAGGCCAGAACTTTGTAAACAAAAGTGTAACATCCTGCAGATATGGCCAAAATGCGTTTTTTTTTCTTCACATTATAAGGTATATAAACGTTTTGCCAAAATCTGAATCTGGTTCCTCTGACTATGGCACAGTGCCTTAGTGGGTAGTGCTCACAGCAAGAGGGTTGGGGGTTCGATTCCTGTTTTGGCCCAGGCCTTTCTGTGTGGAAGATTGCATTTTTCTCCTGGTCTCTCTACCATCTAAAACAGGCTGGTCCAAGGTTGCTCAAGTGGCATTAAAGGATGAGTCTAAAGCAGTGGGCACATTTCCTACATGGACAATAAAGTTATACCTATAACCGCTACATTGTTTTCAGGTATTGAAAAATGGCAAAAACCATCTTTTATAACTGACGCTAACAAAGCATTTATGTGTGTGTTCTGCATGTAAATGTGGTCTATGCAGATTATGATACAGAACATTATTTCCCTTGACATTTTTGGCCATGTATACATTATGTGTAATACAGCCATCATCACTGTTTTGCATAGAAATGAAGAAATTATGAATGGATGTTGGGTGCCATAACCTGATTGGTCAATTTGTAACAGATTGCAATCTCTACACTACAATCCACTCCAGCTTAGTGGGGAAACCTCAAACAACTGCAATTACTCAGTGTATGAAATGTCTGTTCACATGGGCACCGTAAGGTGCCTTTGTTGTGCTGGATGTTAGAGGGTATGTCTGAGTGGCCCCATTTCTCTGGGGACCATATTCTCAGGGCCACGTCAGAGATCTTACGAAAGATTGTCCTCATAGGCCCCAGTTATAGTTACCAACATCTTCTACCTCTACCACCCATGGCCCCTTTCCCCACAGCCAATGAGATCGCAGTAACCTCATCGCCCCGTCCAATGGCGCTCCTGGCGTGTTTACATGCTCCCGGAAGGCTGCGATTAAGCATTCAGGTTAGTCGAGCGGAAGAGCGAAAGGAAAGAAAGGATAGGTTGAGTGAGAGGGGGAGACATGAGGAGGAAACCATAATGAATCAAAGGGGCTGATGGATGCACTTGAAAAGTCACTAGTCATTCGGACACATTTAGGTGAACTTACAACTGGATTTATGTACAGTCTTTCACCAAATCACTATTCTCTTTAAAAAATATTATATGCCTTAATATCAAAACCTACACCTGTTTAATGAATGAGTCTTGTATGTTAATGTTAATGGGCATCTTGTGTGTCCATTAAAGGCACACCGTGTAACTCTTGGCCACTAGGGGCGCTAGACCTGCAACTTTCACGTTTAGCGCCCCTAGTGGCCACAAGCAACTCAGCACTGTCGCAAAAGTCAAACAGTCAGCCGGTGTCTTTTGAGTGTGTATTCAGACAGCATGCACTGGTGTGTGTGTTCAAACTGTAGAGACATGCCTACAGATATTGAGAGACTCTGCTGTGGTCAGCCTCCAGACCGCTGCATTAGTAATCTACCACACATGGACTTCTATATCCTGGATGAGGGAGTTCTGCGTCTAGCTCGTGCTGCGTGGAATGACATCTTTGCGGTCGATGACATCCAGGAACCAGGTGAAGAGCAGCGCTCATACAGACATGCAGCTTACAGCACGATCCCTTTCGCGTTTCCTCTTTTTAGCCTCCTCCGAAGGTTTAAAATTTTTCCTTGCCTCAGCCATGACCAGGAGTCGAGCAGGTGAAAAATGAGTAGCAAAAGCCTTAGCTCCATGAGTATATCAGCGCCTGTAGCCGTAAAGCAAGTCTTTCTTCCAAGTCACGTGACCTGGTGGCAGACGGTCCGTCTGCTCGAAACTTACATGGGCGGTATTTCAAGAGGGCAGCCCCGCTCGGAGCATTGCAAGTGTCAAGCGCTGTATATTGGCCCAAGTATTCATATAAAATAACTCATATGTGTCAACTCTTTAGGTCACAAAGTCCGCGGTGTGCCTTTAAAGATTTATGGCACCAGTAAGTGTTGCCTTTCTCCTAACAGATTCTTTTTCCACAGGGGTCAAGACGTGCACTTGTTATTTTAAGTCCAAGATTGATGAGGTGACAAAGGAGGAGTCATTCTACTTCTAGCTGTTTGTAAAAACAGTGGGATTGAGATTTTGGGGATATTTGTCATAGTTCTCATCGCCACAAGAAAGATGAAGCTCTGTACATGCGATTAATATCAACATGAACATTCAGTGTCCTGCTACAAACTGCCAATTAACAGAATACATTTTTTTCTGTCAATTATTGGGGTGAGCTTTATAGTTAAAGTTTACAATTTTACAATTTACATGATGTAAAAACAAAATCATGTTTTTTTTTCATTATCAGTTGTTTTTACCTCAATTATTTATTTCATTTCAATGCAAATATTGAGAGACTATTTATTTCTACTAAAGTTAGGAGTTTAATTTCAGAAAGTATGAAAAAAACCCAATTCCATTGTATTTAGTCATATTTATTTGTGGCTTATTTAAATGGGATACAACAAATATGATGATCCAGTACATTTATGGACATCTGTTTTTGGTCATCCATCCATCAATCTTTCAATTTCACCTGAGGATGAAGCTGAAAGATTGATATGTTGGTGTCTTTCATTCAAAAGACCATAGATTTCAGTCGCCACATTTATCAGCGTTAGTTGCTTGTGCATATGGCAGGATCTGAGCGGTACGCTCGGGTTGCTCAACAAACGTCTTTGTACTAATGTAATGTTTCTAACTAAAAGCTGGAGTCTTGAACCTTATGTCTGAGGCTAAGGCCACAGCATTAAATCAGTGTCCACGACTCCACTTTATATTCTCCTCTTAAGTGTGACCTTTAGTAGATGAACTTGCAATCAAGATTCTGATATGTGAAGGTCCAGTGCTGTTTGTGTTCCATGGCCTTGTGGCCAGCAGAGTTTATCAGTCGTATCTGCTGTTTCCCTTTCCTCACGCTTATCTCTCCCGTGACTCTTTACAATGTCTTCACCGATCGAAAAATCTGAAAATAAACATTAGCTTGATGGGCTGCAAGGTCTGGCACAGGATTTATCCCTCCCAT